GCCCCGGAGAGAGGTTGTGATGGGGGCACTGCCGCTGGAGATCCTTGAACCGCTCCTAAGCCTCGTGAAGAGACTCATTCGGTAACTGAGCAAATGAGACGATCTGGGACCGAAGCTCCTGAGTTTTTTTATGGGAGTAATACTTCCCAATGAACTTGGTGTACACCTCAGTCCATGTCGTGAGAGAGCCGGGTGCAAGCGTCATGAACCAGGCCTTAGCCCGATCCTTCAATGTCTCCGGGAAGCACCTCAGCTTCAACTGCTCGTCATTAAGGTCATTGAGAGGGAAAGTGTTGAGGACATTGTAGAATTCTCGAATGAAGTTGAGTGGGTCCTCGCTTGGTAGCCCATGGAATGCTGGCAGTTGGTTATAGTGGATCATCTTAAGCTCGTAATTTTGAGCCGCATCTGGCAGACGAATGCATGAAGTGATTGGCCCGATAACCGGCTGGGCCAAGGTTCGGAGGGTGTTACGGGGGGCTTGTTGTTGTCGTTCACCCATATCTAGGTTGCTGCCTTCTGATGATTTTGGAGAATGTTCGTCTTCCCCTTGCGATTCCAGAGTGAGTTCTTCCAACAGCTCCCTCAGGCTCTCGTTAACTGATTTGTTGATCGGCTATAGCAGTTTGCGTCCACTCCTGGTACGCATACACTAAGACCAACAAGGTTACGAGCACCAATGATAGACAGAAGAAAATAAACAAGAGAAATCAAAAGAAAACGAAAAACTAACACCTAACAAATAAAAAGAAAGCAAGAGAAACACGAAAAATAAGCGAATAGGCGCACAATTAAAGTCCTAAACCTCCCCCGACAACGGCGCCAATTTTGTTGTGAGTATTTTTACCGGAGTAGAATCGAAAGATTCGTTCCCCGGGTCGTATCGCAAGGAAGGTTAGCCGGATTCAATCGTACGATTATTCGATCACGAGAAAGAAAAGAAAAATACCTAAACACTCTATTCAATAATTATGGTTTTGATTTTAGCTAGTGACTTGAAAACAAATGAAAAGCAACTTAAATAGCAAACGAATTTACTCAAGTGATTAAAGAGCTAGGGAATCGGGGATAATTGCTTTCGGTTCTAACACAACTACCGGCAATCAATTGCTCGGTTAAAGGACTTGAATCGTTCCTCGTCCAGAGGCTCACTCTCAATAACTCTTCGTAACAAGAGAGTGAACATACACGATCGACTATCAATTCCAGCAACTCATAGACAATACTATTACGAACAAGTCTACTCTAAACAAGCATATATCGATCAACGTCTCCCCTCTCGGTTCTACAAGTTGATTAATTAGGTTAGAAAGGTGATCAATCTACTAACCCTAGAATAAGAACAACT